GACTAATGGCAATCAAGGCGGAAGCGGAGGACGTCACACTCCGAGTAGTGGGCCGTTGATAGTCTAGCCTACCTGTTGGCATCAGAGATGCCGGCAAGTTGGCAGACATCCTGGAGTTGCCAGCTCCGGCGGAGGCTCGCGGATTGATCGTAGGTTCTGATAATCTCAAATAGTCTTACGCCGCTTTCCTAGGGTACGGGTCAGGAGTCACGACTTTTCGCAAAGCGAAGCCGCAACGCGACGTCAAGCATTACAGGCCTCAGCTCCCGTCATCCTGCCACAATGTTACTTATGGCATCGAGTCATGTATCTGCCGCCATCCCCCACCCCCTACTATCTCGCCGTGCCACTTTAGCACCGGAGAGTTTTGTGAGACACAAAATTTAGGCGCGGCGAGAGGCAGCCGCGCGCGGTGCGACTCCTGCCCGGGAGCAGCATTCCTATGCACATGAAATTTTGACGATATAGCCGCAAAACAGTGGCATAGCACGCGGAACCTGCATGCGTCAACCTCAAGCACCGCCGCAGCATTCGACCACTCGTTCATTTTTCGTTGACTGCGGCAGCAATGATAGAAACGCTGCCCAAGTGGCGCCTGTATGCGAGCATGATCAGTTCGTTGCGTGGTAGACGTCTGAAAAAATAGCTGATTGATAAATCGAGCGAGAGACGAAATCGCTGCAAATGAGACTTGGAACTTGCAAAATGAAAATGACGTTCTTTATGGCTTCGTTATATCACTAGTCGTTTCTTGTGCATACATGTCACCAATTTGGAGGAGAAAAATCCATATGATGACAAAAATGATAGTTCGATGGAAAGTAATCTCTTTGATTCATTTGCTAGACTTAAGTTATGTGATATTGCCGCGCGATGCAAATTCACAGACACCGTCGGGAGGGTGCTAGATCCTCGACGTTGTAGATATTGTCGACTCCCTAACTGTGGCGAGGAGAGGTTGCCGGCAACTGAGCTCGCGAAGTTGTCTGCAGTTCTTGCTGCGCTTCCCCATATTTTCCTACAGGAAAATTCCTGTGGAGGTTTTTATAGAGCCGGTAGCACCCTTATTTAGAAAATTTCTTGGAAAAAGGCCTGAGACGGCCTAAATTCGGGATTTCAGCATTCCCAAAAGCGTGAACCACATTTGATTATGTAGGTGGAGACCGCTCAACTCAGACCGACTTCTGGATACTGCGCCGGAACCACTTGCCGTTGGTGGTGATAAATTGTCAAGCCTACAGCGACACATGCGTTTGTTCCACAACATTCCGTAAATCCTCGACTAAACATCCATTTGCATTTAAAAGTCAAAAGAACGAGGACAAAAAAGATCAAATGGTGGAAGCTTTTTGGGCATTGCCAGCCTATCGAAGAAGCTAACGATTCTCAATTATTGACAGAGATGGAGAATTGAATGAAATCGGATTGGTTCGCAAATAAGGATCGAATCGCCTTTGCTTCTCAATTGTACATGGATAAGGTAAAGAGGGACATCCAGCTGCAGCATCTATGGACCTATGCGTGAGTATATGAGCTCGACGTTTCGTCGAACCAACAGGCAGATCAAAAAAGTCTTGAAGAGGAGGCACCACGAGATGAAGTTTATCCTAGTAGGCTTGCGAATGAACGTCGGAAATTTTGAGTATGTCGGGGAGATATCCGACGGAACATCAATACAGACGGACGGCCGCTAAAGAAAGCCACCACTTTCTATCACCTGTGCTCCCGAGCAACTTCCCATTGTGAAGCGGCCACTTACGCCCGTGTTAGAGCAGAGCGAACGCGGCCTGCCTGAAATGCCACAAGTAACAGGACTACTCTGCATCGCCGAACTTAAGTGTGCCTCCATCAAAGGTTTGACGGCCATGGCACGATCAGCCATCCTGTACGGAGCAGAGTGTTGACCAGCAACTATTAGGGTAATCCAAAAGTGATGATGCATTTGGAAAATAAGCGCATTTTCTTCCTTAGAACTTGATTGGACGCCAAATCATTACATATGTATTATGTCGCAGCATTATTCTTGTAAGAGCATAGAGTCAAAGCTTTTCAGTAATTCCGCACTTTGAGCAGCAAAACAAGTGAGGCTAACAGATATCTGTGCCGCAACGGATGAGGAAATACCCTAATTCCACGAGTATAGAACGCGGAGGGGGGGGGGTTCTAAAACCAAAAAGCACAGGCACACCGAAAGATTGCGACCAACCGACCGTGCTGCATATTGTCTGGGAGTATCGTGCGGCATAAGTCTCGTTTTCCGAAACACAGCAAGGCGACTGAACTCTCGCTTAAAAAACCGAAAAAGGTGCGGCCTTACTCGTGAAATTAGAGTAGTAGTCCCAACGCTTTGCAATAAAAGACGTTTTGTTAAGATCAGGAAACATATTACCCATTCTTTCGGATAATCAAATAAGCTCTGACGGTCGACTTTTGATAAAAGGTAGACACATACCTTAACTATTTTGAAAAAAGTAGAGCAGTACATGTTTTTGAGCTAGGTACTGCGCTAATTATCGTGCTTCTTCGAATTATTTGCAGGGCTCGGCACGAGGTGGCTAGATGAAAATGCGAAAAACGAAGTCCCCTTGACTTTTGGGTATTTTTACGAAGTCCCCTTTGACCCCCCACCATTTTCCCTAAAAATCCTCCAAAAAACGAAACGTCGACTAAAAAAAAAACGTCGCCAAATCGCCAATTTTGCGTGTGTCTTCGGTCACAAAAACGAAACCCCCTTTGCTTTTCATCCCAAAAACGATACCCAGCTTGCTTGTAAGTCACCTCGTGCCGAGCCCTGATTATTTGCTTCTTTCACACAAAGTAATGAGGAATATCTGCAGTTTTAGTAATCATTAGGAAGAGCTTCCAAAGCCCTTCCGAATAATGTCACATGTCCAGGGACTTTGGAGTACAGCAGCATAAATTCAGATGGCGCTCAAAAAAGTTCTTCTGACCTCTTCGAAGCGCCGCTCGAATACAGTGAGTGAAGCACTGCAAGATGGTGTCAGCGTATTACGCGAAGGTCAGGTCTTTTTATATGAAAGTGTTCAAATTGCTGGTTGTTTATAGTCAATCAGAAAATGTTAAAAAAAAGGTGCTCCATTAATTTTAAATCACCTTAACGATGAGCACGAGTAGATTTTAAGAGCGGATACACGCATGATAAGATGGGTATTTGGCCTTACGCGAGGAAACTAGGTTACTAACACTGATGTACGGCACATTTATGGAGTTGCTCCAATCGAGGACAAAATGTTTGGAGCAAGGTCACGTTTCACGAGTTTATCACAGTGCAATAGCAAAAAAAGCACTTTGCTCAGAACTAAAGGGAAGAAGATCTCGCGGAATGCCAGAGCAACGTTGATCGGCCACAGTTTGAAACGACCTGCGCGTGGCAAACCTCACATTACTAGAAACAGCCGATAAAAGTCAAACGGAAATCACGATGCTACAACGCCAACTCTGCCTTAGCAGGACAATGGAGATAGAGAAAACGAAAAAAAGACCGACAAAATTTAAGCTGTAGCGATACAATACACACTTGTGCAAAAATTTCTTCACTGCTTTTTTTCCGATAAGACTGCTAAGACGTGATCGTTGTGAATTTCCCGCAAAAAAAAACACCACGTCATGTTCAAATAATGTAGTGCCTCTTAATCATAGCTATTACCTTACCATAAGCCATAGAAAGAGGTTTTTTTTAAATGCTACACCCATCACTTTTGAGATGTGTGCATGCTGAATTCTATCGGTATTCTACTATCAGCATTATTAAAGTTATAAATTCAAAAAACTTTGCTGGCTGTCATTCATTCTCGTGCTTCCTGCGATCTTCCTCCTTGCTTGTCACAAAGACAGTGCCATATGCAGTAAAGATGGAAAGAATAACTATGAAGTACTTGGCAGTCACTTTCACCTCGACTTTTGGGTCAAACGTATGTCAAAAAGAAAACGAAAGCTATGTTTCCCCAATGTACTAGGTTGCGTAATAAGTTCTGTCCCATTTTTTCTTTCGATTTTTTCTTAATACTTTGTGCGATGTTCTGCAAATTGTTGATATGCATTTGAAAGCTCTAAGCCTTCTCCACCAAAATCTCCATTTAGATTTTTTACATCAGAAGACGAAAGAGCTTTATTTCAAATTCAAATTTGAAAAATGAAACAGGGGAAAAATCCATTTTCGACAACCATGTTACGTCGCCCTCCAATTAGTCAGAATGCCTACGAATGAGCTCGAAAAATTTGCTACACGTAAGCAAAGAATGCTATAGCTTCTACTGCGCCTCAGGGCTGCCAGAACTTTTCAAAAATCATTTCTGTAATTTTTGAAAAAGTCTTCTTTTTAAGGCCTTTTCAACGTTGGCGTTCGCCATCATCGAAGGCATCCTGAGGGAGGACGGTAAGCGGATCGTTTAGAAAGGACAGAAGGGATGGTTTATGGCTCCAAAATTAACGAATTCATAGGCTAAATACACAAAATTCGAATTTTGGGAGCCACACAGCTTGGGCACGCGAGACGGCGAACATCGGCGTGAACAAAGTCTTGTTTTTGAAAAAATAACATTGAATAGTCGTTAGAAGGAAGGGAACAAGCGCAAACAGTGATAGAATGAAGCGGAGTCTAATAGATTGTTTTACTTGTTGTCAAGCTTGTTCAATAAGTTTTACCAACAAAAAGCGAGAAAAATTTGGAGGAAAAAAGGTGTCGAAAATTGATTTTTCGGCTCTTTGAACCTTTTGTTTCAATCATAAAAACCTTTTTCTTCTTGCTATATTCGGGAATGGTGCATATGAGCCTGTAGAGCAGACTTGGAGCTTTCAAAAGCATATACACTTTATCTCAAATTAAGTCAATGTTGTCGTGGAAAAACTAAAACAAAAGATGAAACAGAACTTATTACACGCCCTAATATGTCGGCACGTTTCAGGTAATCTTTTTGATTTTTAATCATCAGGTTATTAGAACGTATGATTGCATTCCTCCTATTACTTTAGAAGAACAATTTTACGTCATTAGATTTTATTACCTTGTTTGATTAACAAATGATTTACATACGGAAAATTACATCTAAAAACATTTGCGGTGAACGATAGCTGGGCCAGATTCATCATATTCTTGCTTGGAGATCCAAAGTTGTTGGAAGGTCGACAAAGAGGCGAGGATTGATCCTCCAATCCAGACTGAGTATTTCCTTTCTGGTGGGGCAATGATCTTGATTTTCATCGTGCTAAATCATATTTTGAGAGCACCGATACAAAACTTGATTTTCTTTCCACTTGCCTTGGCGCCAGGTGTTGGATTTCCTTTTGCATTCTGTCGGCAATTCCAGGGAACATTGAAGTGCCTCCAGATAATACGGTATTAGCATAAAGGTCCTAAATTATGATTTAGATTGCAGATCGTCTAACATACATACTATCATCTAAGAATAAAAAAGTTAAAGGTTTACTTGAATTATCAATTTCTAAAAAGCTCAAATTCAATGCTTTCGAAAAATGCTTTCAATTTTCAGTGGTCACTTCCATCAACCAGTAACTTTGAAGGCTTATACCTTTCTGATATCGACGTCACACTTCATGATAGACTGGTATGTGGTTTCGTGTATACCCGATGATTCCATTCCGACGAAGTTAGGTTGGAAGAGAACCTCAGGACAGCGGAAGCGCTCGTTTCCAATGGTGATGACCTATGAGAGGAATTTCAGAGGACAAATCGCATGTGTCAGCATTCACCTGTCCATCAGGAAGTTCGTAGCTCTTCTCGAGTGACGATGAGCAGCTAGCAAGTGAAAGTTCTTGTTCAAAGTCAAGAGCGACATAGCAGAGCTTCTCCTTGATATCTCTGACAATTTCACGTTCAGCTGAAATATCTTCGATTTGAGCTTTTTACGATAACATGCTGGCGTAGTCGCTATCAGCGCCAGTGTTGCGCTTTGTTTGCGTTGCAATCAGCAGTAAAGTATGCATGAGCGTAACGTACCAGTGGTAGTGAAGGTGTAGCCACGCTCGGTGAGAATTTTCATCATGTAGTCGGTGAGATCACGACCAGCTAGATCAAGTCGTTGAATTGCGTGAGGAAGTGCATAACCCTGCAAGCTTCTCAAAATTAGCATATAACGAAAACCAAGGTACGATTCTGGCTAACCTCATAGATGGGCACGGTGTGGGTGACACCATCTCCAGTATCAAGAACAATACCGGTAGTACGGCCAGATGCGTACAATGACAATACAGCTTGAATGTTTACATACATAGCTGGAGTGTTGAAAGTCTCAAACATGATTTGTGTCATCTTTTCCCTGTTGCTTTTGGGGTTCAAGGGAGCTTCAGTAAGAAGCACGGGGTGCTCTTCAGGTGCAATTCTGAGCTCATTGTAGAAAGTATGATGCCAGATCTTTTCCATGTCGTCCCAGTTTGTGACAATACCATGTTCGATCGGGTACTTAAGGGTCAAGATACCTGAAAAGTTGATAAATTCGCTAACAAAGCTATCAAGAAGTTCTATCAACCTCTTTTAGACTGAGCCTCATCTCCAACATACGAGTCTTTCTGTCCCATTCCCACCATTACACCTTGGTGTCTGGGACGTCCCACTATGGATGGGAAGACAGCTCGTGGTGCGTCATCGCCAGCAAATCCGGCTTTGCACATACCCGATCCATTGTCAATCACAAGAGCTGCGATTTCGTCTTCCATCTGATAACAAAAGTGTGTATACTAGTAGCAAAAAACAGTGAAAAACGTAAACTAGAAGGTGAGTTGCATGAGATAAGGCTAAGTACTGTGCAAAAAAGACGATGCTGTCATGTCATTATGAGCGGAGAAGGTTGGCAGGTGTGACGTTATCAGTGCGTAGCACGCTTTATACTTCGCTTATCATGGTTCTTGGAACGGGACTAACCGTTTTCGCTCTGATTGGTTGCATATCGCAGCCACCACCCCGTTGCACAATCTGCGCAGTCGGCATAGTCGTATGACCAGAATGGAAGCGAAAACGCGTGTGCGTTTTTCATGAGGCACTTGATCAGAGGTAATGCTGGATCAAAGCCTGCAAGCAAAAGTAATCCTTTTTTGATTTGTACTTTGTCACTACAAGCATTACTATAGCATTATTTTAATTACGGGTTTTCAAGTTTTCCAGATAAATTTGTTAGCTAATCCAACTTTCATAAAAATGCGATTCAACAGTGTGTAGTATAAACACGTTTTGCATAGCACATCACATTTTGCGTAAATTATTTGAAATTATGCAGGGATTTCCCAGAAGACAATGCTGATGAATAATGCAATCATGGTACTATGTCAAAACTGAAAACATTATGAAATGCTGCAACATCATGCAGGAATTGTTATGCGCGCACAACTCGGGTGAAAATCATTTGTGCTCTTTAATTTTATTTTCGAATCAAATTCGATCTTGAAGTGCGACCATCTGCTGAAATATTCACATCGAACGATATTCGCAAAACTTGTATTGTAACAAAGCCCCCCCCCCCCCTCCCCCCTCCCCCCACAAAAACAGCTCCACATTCGGTTGTCACAAACAACAATTTCTCACAAAATTGAAACTAGTTTCCCACCTCATTTGTTAAAAGCAAGCATCAGAAATACTGCATATCGAAATTAATAGCCGTGATTGGTCTTGGAAATGCAGCTAGATTGACAATTATATAAGTCAACAGTCAAAGAAATGAAATGCAGACGAAAACGTCGATAATAATCACTTTCAAAAGAAGGCTTGATCAGAATTTGAGTGCAATGGCACTGAAAAATTGTTAAAAGAAGATCTTCAAATTGAATTTTCGGTCATCGCTTCTTACATGTTCAAGTATTCCCATTATTCAAAATTCCCGCACTCAAGAGTTGAATTCTGAGAACGAAAGATATGACGGCGATAGTGAGCAAGCACGAAACAAAGCACGAAAAGGTGATAATGACTTAAAGATACGAGAGAATGTCGTTTCTTCTGCTATAACATGCTGTGAAAGTATGCTTTCTTATTACTGCCTGTTCTATTATTTATGCCGTTGCATCTCTGTATTACTTAGCAATATATTCAATACTGAAAAATGTATTTGCAGTGCACAAATTGAAAAAAAAACAACACAAGCTCTAATCCTAAGAAGAATTTGTACTAGGATCCTAAGCAATTTGTGCAAATATAATATGAAATCTACACGGTAGAAAGCACGCGTTGTTCGGAAGTACGACTAATATTAAGCTCAAAATTGAAGGAAAAATTAACCCAAGAATCCCAAATGTATGCATAATTTTGTAGGAAAATTGTAAAGAGGAATAAAATTGAGAAGAATATCACATTGTCGCCGACTGCAAGTCTATCCAATTTATATGCTTATGGCTAATATGCACATTATACCATTAAGGTGTAATGAAGCGTGGGTAAGTATTATCTACACACCAGTGGCGTACCCAGGATTCCCGCTCGGGGGGGGGGGGGGGGCGCGACGAAAAAATTTTTCAAATAAAGGTGCGTGGCGTTAGCCACGCACTCCGAAAAAATTTTAGGGGTGCTTTTCAAAATTTTTGCGGGTCCTCAACCCCTGAAATCTGGAAAAAAGGGGCGTGGCGTCAGCCACGCCCCCGAAAAAATTTTTTTACAGGGCTAATTTGAATTTTTAAAAAATTTTAAAAATTATTTTAATCATTTACAAGTATAAACAAGTCATTTGCACATTTTTATAACCCTTATAAGTAACTTTCAAAAATTTCGCGCTACCCATTCTCGGGGGGGGAGGTGAACTTGAAGTAAATAGTGACAACCTTACCACATTGTGGTCTGTTAATCCTTATCCATACAAAAGATTTCAATGAGATTTTACATGAGCAAATCAAATACGCAAAGGGCCAGTTCCAAACACTTAGGGTACAGCGACCAAATAAGAGCTCGCGAGCTGAGCTTTTAGAGAGCTCAAAATGATAATATAAAATCATTGCAAAAAGGCATGGTCGACTTCACTGTTGACAACACTTAGAAACTACTGGTAGGTGATATCGTATGATTGTCAGAGTCAAGTAACTATAGGTTGTACCAAAAGTAAACATTTTTTTGAATAATTCAAAGTTTTCTTGTTTTCCTAGTGGATTTAGGGCATCAGTTGATAGGGCAGATCGAGCTCTACAAAATGACTGTCAAAGATCCGTCTAAGTCGTATTCTAAAGTATCTAAAGTTTTAAGCAAATCGAAGAAAATTTTGTCACCTAAAAATTTAATTTCTTGCGAGAAAATAACCTACAGACCCGCAGCTTTGTCATCACACAGTAGCGTGGCAGTCCCAGGATTTCGGACCAGAGGATGGGGGGCGGGAGGGAAGGCGACAGAAATTTTTTTCAAATGAAGGTGCGTGGAGTTAGCCACGCACTCCGAAAAATTTTTGAGGTGCTTCTTAAAATTTTTGCGGGCTCATAACCCCTAAAATTTAGAAAAAAGGGGGGCGGCGGTAGCCACGCCCCGAAAAAATTTTTTAGGCCAAATTGGATTTTTGAAAAATTTCAATAATCATTTTAATTGTTTACAAGAATAAACATGTCACTTGCACATTTTTATAACCATGTAAGTAACTTTCAAAAATTTCGCGATCCATTCTCGGGGGGTTGGGGGGGGGGGCTCCGTCGGCCACTGTACAGTAGGTACATAGTAGTACTCAAATATGCCTATACTGGATTTTTTCCGCGCAAAAGCAGGAAAAACAGATAGTCCAAAAACGGCAATTTTCGCCTCCAGCTCCTCCCACATATGCACTGTTACAAGCCTGCTAAGTGAAATCTCAAAACTCTGCCCAACTATGTGCTCTTATAATCGAGAAATACCAAGTTTTGCATGAAAAACTCGAAAAAGGTGGCAATTTGGCGTTTTTGGACCACTTTTGTTTCTTGATTTTGAGTTCGGGAAAGATACAACAAATACATTTTTGGATACTACTATGTGTCTACTATACAAAGACCAAGTTAGAAGTCTGTAGAGCTTTTCTGGATGGAGACCCAATTTTTAGGGTAGCTGAAACATTTTTGCCTTTAAACTTTATGTGGATCACGACTTAGGTATCTTTGGTAATCTTTTTGTAGAGCTTGTTCCGCTCTATCTAAAAGTACCCTAAGTCTGTTAGGAAAAAAACAACCCAATTTATTTGGAAATGGAATTTACTTTCGCGACAACCAAATATTTTATCACTGTAATATGGAGCTTTTAGCGTTTTTATACAAAAGAGGGAAGCTATACTTCTGGTAAACTATTATGACATAGAACTTATACGATTGGCATCAAGGAATGAGTCACAATTCTGCACTTTTCAGCAATCATGTCGCAACTATAAAGGGAGTTTCGTCATTTCTTAAATGAGCTAAAAAAACTTTTTTGTTTGTCTTTGCCTTTGACCCGCGGGGCAGGATCGAGGTGTTGAATTCGTCTTTGATTTGAGTCGAACGGCTGCTTCTAGTGGTGTGAGGTCCCAAACGCAGATCGTTTCGAAACGTGTTCTTGCGGCCCTCATGACGTCATCTTCCCTGTGAATCTTAGCGAAGAGCCTTCTGGAATTATATTTCTACATTGTCGTTCCTGTTTCCTGCGACGTTGTTTGGACTGTTGCTCTCACTGCCCAAGTTGGAGAAAAATCGTTGCGAAAACAGATAAGAGAATAAAAACGCACTTTTCTACAACTTTTTCTGATGAAATTCTGTTCGAGGAAGTAAGCTCTGCGAGATGTCTACGTTTAGAGAAGCATCTATCGATTACCAGAAGAAACCTTGTGAACAGAGCTAAACTAGATAAAAAAAACAAAAGGTGTTCGAAAACACGGTTCTTGCAAGATTTCTTGTTCAAATCAAAAAATGGAGTTTGCGACGTTGTCAGCGTAAAAGTAGAGACCGAGAACTTTGCAATATACTGTTTGTTAGAAATTCAAAACAACGAAGAAAAGGGTAGCCAAATGTCCCGTGCCCGCCTTTATCACCTCTAAAAACCCTAGAATAAACCGTAAAGACGAATGCATCGTCGTGACCGGAGAGTTGACCCTATATCAAACCCTCTGTGGGTTTTGATCTACGGAATCAGGGTCAGATACTTGAGTGCTCGCAAAGTAATCAACAGTAAGGCGCACTCCGCATACGGTGGTTTCCTCACATAACGGCTCTCTCGGTAAGCGCTGACTCGGTTCTTCACGTTTATCGTTTCATCTCCTATCCATGAGGCTGCATTGTACTCTGTCGTCGCCTAGGTGTTTGAGAGAATAGCACGAATGTTTTGTGATCTTTCCAGTCTCTGAGAAAGGCGACGACGCCGAAACGTCAGCCGTATTAGATTTATCAACAGTCTTGGTGACAGGCTGAAGAAGAATATAGCAGTGAGTCTGCTCTAAATTGTGTTTTTGCTGAGTCTTGTTTCATGCCCTTGTGTGATACTCAAATGTAGAGATCTTTTTTAAATGTGTATATCTGCTGTTTTCGTATCAGTTTGCTTGTAAAGACTACCCAAAGTTATGTCGTCTGGTATTTGCCAATAAATTTCAAGACATAAAATAGTTTTCACGTATATAAGAAGAATAGGCATAACTTTTAAATAAGATTAATCACCAAAGGTAAGGGAAGAAAGGGTCGTGAGAGAGGGCAAAGACGCAAAATCTGTTAATAAGAGCGTAAGTTGCATGCTCGAGACATTATGGTGTCTTCCGCAGGATATTCTAATTTTGACCGGAATGTGTCAGTCGAACACCTGATTTTGTCGCGCATTTTTATCTCGAAACAAAATCAAGTGTCCTGATATTGTCCCGACACAGATTTCTTGAGTCGCGCAGCATTCTGCGGGTACGCCTCGTTTTGCCTGCGCGAGTCAACTGCGAATGTCCGAAGGTCTAAGTGCTTGATTCCCGTTGATTTGACGATATCGTCCTCCCGCGATTTCCCTCCCACTCATAAGGCATAGGCCGCAATATCATAGCCATAAGGATCCCGCAGCGACTTGCTTCCCCAGCCTTGACAGAAACTGTTCCAGTCATTCAAATTCAATGTAGAGCCTTGGAAATTGTCCTTTTTGCCAATTTCTCACTCTCCAATGTGGATATTTGATGTTCGAAAAGCCAGATGAGCGAACAATTCTCAATCCTTTTCGTGAACAGAGAAGAAAACTCAAGAGGTGATTTCACTAATCGTCTCATCTCACCTTGCTTTTCTAAAACAATGATTTACAGAAGTCTGAAAATAATAAGATTTATTGCGGAAAAAAACAGCGCAATATGAACAGAAATATACAACCAAGAGAAGAGATCGAGTATATAGAGGAGCGCCACACGAGCCCCTCTGACTCGAACGCTGGCCGAGCGCGAGATGTCCGTGGACAGCTAGCCGCCCCCTCTGTCTCTACGCAAATCTGAATTTGGAGCGCTAGCCGCGAACACTAGCACTGAGGGCTCTACCAAGTAGAGCGACGAAGACGAACACCCATATGTCGACCGTGTGTGGAAGAGAATTATACGCTTGCAGCGATATACGAATAGAGAGCAAGTATTACAGTAGTGCAAAGGCTTCCCGTAAGCAGATATGTACACAAGTCTCGCCGGAGACTAGAGAGAAAAACAGAATAACAAAAAAGTGGGTGAGCTTCTTGGTGGGAGGAAGACTCTTGGGGAAAATTTTTAAGTGTGTATGCGCTAGGGCGTTGTTCTTCTATGCGCTAATTCAGTTCCACACCCTATGCTTCTTCGCAAGACGAACACGATCCTTTGTCTCTAGGTCGATTGTGTCCTGCACATCCATCACAAGTTCTTGGCTGACCACGGGTAGCACTATCTGAAAATGCGAGAGATAGGGATATTTTTGAGCAACAGAGCTTTCAAAATTACTTTTTCATTTTTGAAGCATTTCTTTTGCTTGTTCTCATTGCAGAAACCGCAAGAAGCGCGACAATTCTCAGCCATAAAATCTTCGCCTTTTCCTCTGCAAAGTCCTTGCCTTTTGAATTCGGAACACATTGGATGGTAGTCGAGACATGCTAAAACAAACACTATTAGTGTTCTCTTTGATTCAGATAGTGAATGATTCGTACCCGGCGAGGAGATGTTGAATGCGGGCATACAAACTCCACAACTTGGTCCGCAGTAAACTCCCATATATTCGGCTTGCTTGACACACTGTCCTTTCTCAGCCCAAAGACTGCAGCAGGGTGACCTATAAGAACATAAATTTATAAAAGGTCTTGTTTAAAAACCTTAAGAACCCAAAAGCTGACCTATTGAAGCAATTGACGAATCTCGGAGCAAGCATTTTCGTTGGCTGTGGATGGACCTCCCGGTCTTCGATGCCTACTGGCAGTGGACTCATACCCATAGAACCATTTATAGGCTTCACGTCCTTCATCGTTTTAGAGCCAAAAGCTCGGCCACCCTACAATAGTCCCATTTATGGCTGCTAACATTCAGTAAAGCATTATCAGTGAAGCAGTATTTGTCAATTTCCCAATGCTTGATCAAGTGCTGTTGTACCGTTACGACCGAGCGCCTATCGCCCGATTAAGTGAAACAGCGCCCGATCAGACATCGCGAGATACCGCCCCTGAATGAACTCACTCCTGGAACGCAACGTCCCCACCAGCATCGGCCTTGATAGCAAGCATCAAAGTTCTCAAATCCTTGACAATTTCCGTTCATCTTGATCTTGGCAACGCAATGGGGATAACTAAAACAATGATGAAGATTCTGTCCACCAGAAAAAGAAGGGTTAGGTGACATACCCTCTAGTATCACAGAACAAGTACGGTGAACCACAGTTAGGATTCTGAAGTGAGCAACTTGGTCGAGGAGCATAACGATACATCTGATCGGTGTATGAGTTTGATAGCCCTGTAAAGCAATGAAATTCAGCAGTTGCGACAAAAAACATCAAAATTACCATCTCTGTTCTGTAGATATGGGAATGGACGCATATAAGCCCAACTGTAGTGCATTTGGTTGGTACAGTACGGGTTGTCGTTAGCATAAGCCTGAATTTTGCAAATTCGCGGAATATTAGCAAAAAAATCGGAGTTACCGTATACTTACCACTTCTCTCAACCATCTCGGTTGTTTCAGCTGACGCCAGAGTTCCCAGAGGTAATCGACAAAGGAGTGGTGCATGTAGAATAGAGGCTTAATATCGAACTTATTTATAAAACGAACATTTAGAATTTCACTACCAAGAATCAAGGCAGAAAAAAGAATAAAAGGGAGAAAATAAAGTGTAGACTTTCAAATGTTATGAAGAAGTATCATTGGACGCACAAAAGAAAAAGGCGTAAAATAAGAGGAAATTTTCTCCTGGTTCACATTTCATCATGACCGGTTAAGCCAAAAAACAAAACAAAAGTCCACTAGCCAGAAAATCAAAAAAAATTCATTTGTGGCCCCTTGTATCATGCGGAATACTTCGAGAGTAAGTATTGGTCGAAATTTTTTCAAAAAAATTTTTGAACTCAAAAAGCAATCTATTTCTAGGCGTTCAACATCAAATTATTGTCAAGATACATTATGGCTGAAGTGAAAACTCTACTTGTTTCTCTTTAGATTGATCTTGAGAACGTTGACTTGCTTGAAATGGAAAGGCTGATTTCAAAACTTTGTTACCTCATTGGCCGAAGTGCTTGGTGGTTTCATGTCTCCTCCAACCCATAGATGTACGTTCGAATGGATGTATTCGATAGCTCCATAATTGTTCGGATAAGGACAACCTGAACATCAAACCGAAATGATCAATTTCCCAATGATTCTTGGCGTTTTTTTGTGTCCGTTCACGCTCTCGCATGACCTCTTGCTATTCTCACACGGCAACAAAAGAGAAACTTTCAGCACGAGGTCAAACTAGAAGCGCAAGCCAGTTCATTCACTACTACGCGGTTTGCGTTGTTCACACGTACTGTGTAAAGTGCCACTTCAAATCACACAGCCGATTGTCTCAAATATGTTGCCAAGCACTTATTTTTGGCATTTTTCGCGGAAGAAGCGGTTCAAAAATAACATGTTGTTTACATGTTTACGAAAAATGTTTACGGACCTGCTTGTGGGGCGGTGTAGGCAAGGATGTTCTCGATCGTATTCTGTGCGACTACGTTGTTTACCTGATTCTCATTGATGAGGGAGCCTTCTACGCCGAGATTTCTGCAAAGGAAATATTTTCTATGGTTTTTAAACCTGCGGTTCATTTGCCCAAGCAAAAGTCTCACCTCAAAATAGTGGGTCTACCCTCAAGTGTTCGCCAGTAAGCGAATGGACCTTGAATGACATTCCCATAGAAATCAGTTTCACCAGCGAAAAGATTCGAGAAAAGAATCGAATCTCTTGGATCGGGCAAGTAACCGTCAATAACACTGTCCCAATAAGGAATTGCCACCGTTGGATCCACCATTCGTAGGGCAATCTCGACTCTAAAGTAACTCTCATGAATTGAAGGACACGGCCTCATAAAAGCCGCGAAGTTCGAGAATCGTCTGAGTTTCGCTCTCGCTCTCTGTTTCGCTCTTTAACGTGAACGCCACGGAAAGTTTCAACTTTTTAGAGCTCTGAACTTTTGAAAGGATACATTATGATCATAGTGAAAAAGGGCAAAACTTGTTTTCATTCTTGCTCCCCGTCTGTCTGCCTCTTACAGGTTCCGAAGGTTTCAGGTGAGAAAGAAAAACCTCAAGAATCATTTTGACTTGGAAAATAACTTTTTTGAAGTTTGCACCAGTCTATCATTTCAGCTTGTCTATTGATGCATTATTCGACATGCTACATAAAAAATTCGATCTCTCTACTTTTTGAAGGAGAAAATCAAGAAGTCTCTCATGCATGTATTGCAGAAATGAACGCAAGAGCAAAACTTCTCAAGTTTGAATATTGCAATCTGAAATTGTCTTCAATTTTCTTGAAAGAAACCAACTACTTGGCAAATTATTTACAATAATACAGGAGCTGACAGTCTCTATAAAATGTTCGATTTTTCCACTTCTTTTGGGCAAAAAATCGAGATTCTCCACATGTTTCATTGTAAGAAAAAGCGAAAGGAGAATTTGCAAAAAAATGAACACAGAAGTAAAACTCCATTATCACTTCACCTCCACGGGACCGCCTGTTTATCTCACAATTTTCCTGAAATACTGTATTTTTTGGGAAAACAGTTCTCATGATTTCCGACCAAAAACTTGTTCAGCTATGTTCTCTTACCTCTTGAGGAACTCTCTGTGCCATGGTAAGAAACCGGGTCCTGAGTGAGCGCCCGAACCAGTGCCCACCTGTAAGTGATACATTTCATGTAGCACTCTCTTCGGTTACAGTAGCATTACCGTATCCTCTCACCCTGACCCCTTCTTGTTTTCTACATATCCAGTCGTGATTCGAAAAACAAAACCTCACCTCAAAGTGAATTCTGCCAAGTCTATCGAATTCTCCGTTCAACTTCAGCGTTGTCAACGCATTATGCCATCGACGCCTTTCATCTTCGGTAAGCATACGGTACTCCTTACGGTATGCCATCTGGAGTATGGCACCGTTCGACAACACACAATGTCCTCCTTGCATTCGACCCTGTAATCGTGTTAGAATTTTTGGAAAAATTGTCAAGGCCGATTCGGGGCTGAAAATTTCGCGGCTTACGGCAAAGAACGGACAGAGACAGCCGAGAGTCATACAATCGTACGGGTGATAGGCGATTTGCCCTCGGGCGTTTGGCGGAACGGGAATGGGCAGAAGCCAGTCGGGTGGACCTTGCGGTTGAGGGGGTGCCTGAGGTCTCTGTTGTTGCGGTTGTCCTTGTCTCGGTTGTCTAGGCGCAGTTTGCCTTCTTACCTAAAAGAAGGATTTCTAAAACTACTTTGGTATTATTAGATAAATGTTTTTTCTCCCAAAATTACCGGATTTCTAGCCTCCTGTCTTGCAATTCGTCTCCTTGTAAGTCTGTCCATGGTACGAATCTATAAAAGTACAATCAGATGATTTCTAGTTTTGTTCTGTTCTCATCAATCATTCAGGAAGTAAGCACAACGCTGGTTCACAAAGCGTGACCGATGTTTTGTTTGTGTACAGCCATTGCGGTGGGTATCATCACACCAACCAGCCTACCAATTTCAAGGTATGGGTAAGGTCTGAACTTACCATAAGGCAGGTACGCTTAGTGTCCCTGTCGGGAGCATCGGAGCAATCTCTTGGCGGTTCCGCTCGACGTTTACTTTGGGCTGCTGTAGCTATTGCTAGCGTCAGCACTAGTAACGCCAAAAGCAGGCGCATCTCCTTTCCTCTGAGAAAAAAAAAACGATTTGAAGGACGGATTACATTACCAAATCAGGAACATACGAGCGATAGGCTACACTTTGCCAAAAATCCTGAAAAAAAAACTGCGAAATTTAAAAGTGATAATATCAAAGCCTCAAGGCCATAAACAGTAGACCAAAAACGGGGCGGAAGTGGTCCGCAAGCTCACCGACCCGTAGGTGGTCGTTGAAGACTACCCGACGAGACCCCGTTGCCGCCCCCGTCGAGAAGACCCTTTGAAACCAGTTTGCCATTGCGGCGATGCTTTTCTCTACGCGGGTTCGAATCTTAGAATCGTCGAGAGACGCACGCCCCTCGGTCACGCTTCTGTTTGTGGATGTTTATGTTTGTTACCCCGCTTTTGCAAATTATGGCTTCACATAATTCATGATCAGACCAACTAAACGTTTCGGAGCTATCAAAGGTCATTTCTAAAAAGTCGGGTACGTGTTGGGGAAAAGTAATGGAGATTGGGCAGTAAGGGTGAGGGTGCTGTGTGTCCCAGTGTAAGCTCCCCTAAAACCCAACAACCTAATCATTCTGTGGTGGTGAAACCGTAATGTAACCTACCGTAAATACTGTCGCGATACTGTAAACCCTTTCAAAACGAATTTGTCAGGAACCTTATACATCCATGCAGACCCCAGTGACGAGAGTGACGGTCATCCGTACAGGTAAAAAGGTTACCTCATATTCAGTACATATGACTTCAAGCTCACATCCGTATCTCGTGTTATGAATAGAATGGGGAAATGAAAAAGGCTGAAGGGGTCTTGGAGCGAAACACTAAACTGTACTCTTCTTCTTACCCGCAACTAGGCATTTTTGGACTTATACTGTTAACCGGGCATGGGGAAAGGGAGGGAGAGGGGGGAGGGGGAAATGATGAGAAGATCATGAAAACTTTGCGGCAAATTGCTAAAATATACCCACTACATCCCAAATGCTTGGAATTTTTGAAGTTGCTCTCCTAGCTTGACATGTGAAATGGAAAGAGAATGAGGGAAGACTAGCATGAGATAGGAAAAAGCTGGGCTATCCGCTTTACCCTTCATATGGGTAAGGGCAAAACTTGATGTTTGATCTTACACTTCTAGCTAGACGTCATAAATGGAAAGGGAATGAGAGAGGGAAACGACGTAGAGATGGGGTAAACCCTAGACCAAATTGAGATTGCACCCTATAAATGAAGTTTTTATGTGAATGGGAATGCCCCAAAACTGACAGAAGAGATTGGAGGGGGTTTTTGGGATGCTGATTGAAGCATGAAGATGTAGAAATGTATGAGAAAACTGAACGAGTACTGGTAACAACGATCGCTATATACTGATAAAGGGTAGAGAGAGAATGCAAGGATTGCAGGAGTCAAGGTTACTTATACGTGTTCGCTTAGCTAACCAATAGGCTTTTCGATAAGAAACTTTTTCCTTTTCGATTCTTTTCTCTCTGATGCTAATAAATTGTCTTGAGAAAACTGAAAATAGCTAGCCGTACATGCTAATAACGGAGAATTGCGCAACAGAAAGATAGCGGTGGGAGAACAAGGGCGAGAGCGAAAGTGACGGGCGAAGTGGCCTGAGGACCTCGGGGCGCTGAAAGGGGCGCAGGGCCCGTGTGTGGTCGTCGGGGGTGAGAGTTACATTGGCCCCCGTGTTTCGTGATGCTTATCAGTAAGTAGTGTAGGTGGCAAATTCGAGGGATAGGTGAGGTGTTATGTGTGTGCTGATTTACACTGTACCCGTGCGCTTTTATAGTGCGAGCAGTTAGGCGGGGGTCGGGCTAGGTGTACACGGGGCGGGGTCAACCCGGGTGGCTACATGACAACATGCACGCATACACGAAATAACATCTTGTCGTTTTCATAAACACACACACTTGTCCACTCATCAGACAATGGCAGTTTGGAAAAGCGAACACCCATGGTGTCGAATTAGCTGATTAGTTTGCAATTGCATCATTTGAGAGACCGAGTTTGAAAGGCGGATTTAACAGGTGCCAGACCCCGGTTAGTCGCTTATCCGTACCCACTTCGCTGATTGGTCAAATCGCTGACTTGACCAATCATGGGGCGTGTAAGCGGCTTAGCGGATAACTCAGCGCCTTCCTTTGCACGAAGTACCAGAGGGTTACTGTAGTAGATCAGTAGCACTGTTCCCTTCAGGATCTTTTAGAGGTATAGAATTGAAGGCGATGGTTCTATCTTGGCTAGGAGCTACACGAAATGAGACTCGGCCAATTTTGGGATTTCCGACATTCAAAATTTGAAAAAAATTCTTTTTTTTGTAAACTTCATGACATTGATGAGAAAGGTTTGCACAAAACATTCTTTTCTTTATCAATCTCTATTTTCAGAAAAAGCACAAATTCCAGCAGAGGTGAGGAGAGTGAGAAGGCGAAAAGTCATAGAGACTCATAAAAAATTAGGATATGAAAAGGGAAAAGGGGAAATTACCACAACAGCAGCATTTTTGATATCTGCACACTGCACTAAATACACCAAGTTACAGTATTTTATGTTATTCATTATAGAGTATAATCATGATCAATATATTTCGTTGATTAAACTTAAAATTAATAAATTATCAAAAACTGTACAAAATATTTATTTCTCTTGTTAGAAAATTCCAGAATAGTTGTTGGCGAGAAATTACTAACAATTAATCAATTCTTTTGATGCTCATCTTTTGCAAATCCATGGATCCAGCAATCATAAAAATTGAGCAGTTCCTTCAAAAAACTTCAAAAAAGTAACGAAACACCTCAAAGTGCGCTTTGCTTGCTCAAGCGACAATCTTTTTTCAAATTTAATGGCATGAGTGTCGCTTCCGGTTTTCGTGCAATTTTCGCAGAAGCAGCATTTCAAATTTTAACAAAAATAATTGCATAGAGAAGCAACTCAGAAATACGAATAACACTAAATTTTGCCTCAGAATTAGCAAACAAGTTGAATTTTTCTGCAAATTTCAATAACTTGGTTTTACCGTAACCATTCTGTTGTCCTTGAAGTTTTCACCTCTGAATAGCGCGATGCTAGCATACCAAAAATTCTCCGTGCTCAATGATAGCATTACTTACCTTGGTTACGTGCCTGGGTAAAAGTTCACCCGATCATTGTCTTCCCTATCAAGGACATTGCTTGGATGCGCTAGCATTTGGGCACTTTTTCTAATGAGCCAACATTGATGACGACATTGACGCAGGAGAGTAAATTTGCTTCCAAAAATATGTTCGCAATTACAGTATTATTAAGTGGTCGATTGAGCAAACTCGAGCAAGTGATCGCTATGAAAAACGCAAGAGACGTACAAATTGGTACACTAAAAAAGAAATTCAAGTTCATACCAAATTGTGGCAAACGAATCTGCAGGAAATTATTTTTTACATATAAAAGCACTCCAAAAGTTCGACCACCGCGTTAAAATGAAAACTGTAGCGCTGAAGAAGGATGTGGGGGGGGGGGGGGACAAGTCTGAAACTCCACTGCCGTTACTTGCTAGGTTTTCGTTTGAGTGAGAAATTTTTAGATCAATATTCAGATGATAAGCATCTTGTCAGGAACATTTTGAAAGGCCGCCAACAAATTTTCTGGAGGGACTGCCACACCCTTTTTTGGTAAAATTTCTAACCCCATGGTTTCTCAGCCTAGTCCTGCTCTAAATATCCTAAGAAGGAAGCACCTTTTCCAATTTCATTAACTAGCCTAATTTTTCTAACCGGTAAATCTTAACAGTAAATTTTTGTAAAATTTTGGTAATCGTTGAAATACACTTTGATAAACTTTTATATTTATTTTATGATATCTCATCATCTTCGTTCAATATACAAACGGTTTCCTCTTTTCAATATTGAACAAACAAATTATTAGCTCTAAAAGTTTTTCCGAAAATTTTGTCTAACAGGAAAACTGAAATTTGTAAAGCAGTTGATCATCTACCACATGAAATTCTGAAACTTCACATCATGTTTCATAGAATTTTTGAAAGAAAACTAGGCTATTCGAGGTTTTCGGTTGTTTGTTATCAATTCCCTTGATAGTGGCCAAAAGGGATACGGTAGCGGACTTTACATCCCAACAAGCCATTGTTAGATACTCTGCTATGCTATGTTTACAAACAACATTTATTGGTTTCATTTCGTAATCAATACACTAGAACTCTCACCCATTTCCTAGACTATTCTTGCACTCAATGTTGTCTTTTCTTTATCACTTCCCAAATGCGACACATGTTCAAATTAGCAACATTTTTTACATACTTACACACTAAGAGACAATAGAGCGCTGCAATGAAGAGGAAAGAAACAAGAAACTTTCTTTTTTTCTGCGAATAGGTTCATTGCCCCATAAAAAATTGTCACAAGTGATCGACATAAAGGGAGTAATTTAGCGAATTTAGCTGTGGCGAAGTTGCCATCTGCGCAAGGTTGTATACATGCACTTCTCTCACATTAGTTCGATGAAGTTTTACCAAAGCTTAATAGATGTATTTATTGAATGCATATTCTTCTGCTCTTGATCTTCAAAGCTCAATTCGAAATTTGTCGATATCAATAATGCGAGCCACCAAAAATAATGGGATTGACAACTAATATTTACTAATACAAATTTTAATCCCCACCCCCTCCTTATCGCTTTCAATCAATAACCATAACACTATGACAGTCTTTTCTTTCTAATGTAAAAATAACTGTTGTTTGCATCCCAATAATAAACGTTGATCGTTCGCAAAGTCATCCAGTTTTTTCACGTAGAAATTTTTTATGAACTCTCATATTTGTATGTTTTACGGAAAAAGGAGACCATTGTCTATATTTATATACTTCTATATCTTTATTTCTAAATACCTCAGTCATTTATGTGGTATATGCACACCGATGGTGTACCCAGGACACTGACATCTAAGTGAAACATGCAAAAGCCTAATTCAATTCTACAAAATCTGTCGATAAAGCGCAAGACAAACTGAGCGAATACGTCTCTTACCGCACA